GGGACTAAATAGAAGAAGGCAGAATGTCACAGGAACTATTCTTTGGCTCTTTGGGTAGGTGAATGGATGTCCTGGAGTTTATTATTTTTTAAAACAGATCCATGAGCAGTCCAGCCAATATTGAACAGTTCCTTTTTTTTTTGCAGGTTATTTGGGATCTTAATAATCTTCTTCATCATCTGTTTCCAACTTCCTCTTTTCTCCTTTTCCACTTTCTTCCTCCTCTTCATCTTCATCCTCATCTTCTTCACCTTCATCAAATTCTCCATCATGGCCAAATTCTTCTACCTCCCCATTGACTTCATCTTCATCTTCCTCCCCTTCTACATTTTCATCTTCATCCTTTTCTAAATTAAAATCTTCATCCTCATCCTCCTCGTCCTTATCTTCTTCTTCATCCTCACCATCCACCTCAACATCTGAGTCAGGGGCTTCCTGGTCCTCTGGGTGATAGCTATCCAGGTAGGTCAGCTGGGAAAGAAGTCTGAAGACAATCTCTCAGTAATCACTCAAGTTGGAAACCTCACAGGTAAACAGATCCAGGCTTTTCAGACATTGCAATTTTTTCAAAGGTCCCAAGGTGCTGATATCTTTTAGTTTATTTTCACTTAAGTTTAGATGTATGAGTTTTGGAAAAATTTCCACAAACATGTCTAGACCTTCAAAGATTCTATTTTCACTGCACTCAAGCTCTTTCAATTTCAGTAGTTTGGGGAGATAAAAACTGAAATCCAGCCTATATTTATTAAACTGAGGAACTCTAAGTTCACAAATTCAGCTGTCAAATCCTCAATTTTTCCATCATTTGATTTGCAGTTGTTTAAGGACAAGTTCTCAAACAGCCTCCAGGGTCCAGATCCTCAGCTCTGGGTAGATCCTTCTCTCCATGTTTCTCTCTTCCCCTATCTTCAAACGTAACTATCAGCAGCGGGGGCTGTGGTGGGAGAGGCTTCCAGGGCTGCTCAGCAAGGGTCATTGGAAGGTAGACCAGTAGTGCGGTCCCAGGGGGCGTGGAACGGGCTAAGCAGAGTCGTTGGAGCCAAGTTACTTGTGTCTTTTTATGTAAATGAGGTCATACAACATTTATCCTTCTGTGATTGACTTATTTCACTCGGTATAATGTCTTCAAACTTCCACAGGATTTTCAAGGCTCTGACCTTTCAGAAACATTGCCAACCACTAGGTGGGTTTGAACTGCCAAAATTTTGGCTACTAGTCAAGTGCTTAACTGTTTGTACCACCCAAGGATTTATAAGTTACTTAAATAAAATAAAGCCTAGATATTTTTATCCTTTCCATTTCATAATATAAGTAGAAAGGAGTAAGGGACATCAATGTAAAAACATTAGCTGGGTTTTAACATTTCTAAGGATTCAACAAGGCTGGTCTCAGAAAGTTATGTTAGAGTCTGAGTTAGACCAGGACACTCCCCTAAGGGAGACAGCTGATATGATCATTGCTCTCTTCCCAAATCGAGTCAAGCCTGCTGACATTTTATACCAGACAAGTCTAGCAGCTGTTATAGAGAAGACAGTGGCCTGGAGAGTCATGGAGGGATGGGCTATAAATGCAGGGAGAGTACTACAAAATCCACTGCTGATTAGCCTTAATAAATGACTGGTTCCCTAAAACATCACCATAGAGGAAAAAAATTGGACTTGGGTAGTATTTAAGATAATCTATAGGTGTGACACTGTAGGATAAGCATTAGACTGCTAACAGCTAGGTCAACATGTCAAATCCACCCAGTAGCTCCTTGGAAGCCCTATACAAGGTTGCTATGAGTTAGAATCAACTTGAAAGTACTTAACAACAACAGAACAAGTGTCATTTGTTAAAGTGCCATTGAGTCAGTTCCAACTCATAGCAATTCTATATAGGGTTTCCGAGGAGCAGCTGGTGGATTTGAAACCTTGTGGTTTGCAGTCCAGTGCTGATTCTACAGCAGCACACCAGGAGTCCAGAACAAGTATTGTTGTTGTTGTTAGGTGCCATCGAGTTGGTAGCAACTCATAGCGACTCTTTGTACAACGGCATGAAACATTGCCCGGTCCTGGGCAACCTCACAATTGTTGCCATGCTTGAGCCCATTTATGCAGCCACTTTTAACATTAAGAAAAAAAAATAATAAATAAGATCCCTTTCATTGCTCCACACTTTGTAGTTTGGGCTTTAGTTTGATTGTTAACACACTGCTTCCTACTTCTGTCCTATCAAGTACAGTTGTTGAGCTGACAGGACTCAAGAGAACAAAAGAGGAAGACAGGAAACAAGTAAGATGCTAAGTCTAGAAGTGCATTTCTAAGAAGGTTTTT